GAACGTGGGCTCCTGCCCCAAAAACCTCCTCCTGCCCCGACACCCTCCTCCTGCCCCAACAAAAAGGGCACAATCCCACGGGACAAGCCTCACTGAAGACATCTGGAGGGCAAAAGCACAAAGAGCTCCTCACCCTTCCCTCCTGGCCCTAAGCAGGAAGAACATTATGGAGCCGACCAAGGGAGCATCCACCAGAAGACCCCAGCCCAAGGGACCTCCCAACTGCAGCGAAAGAGGAATCCCCCAACTGGGAATGGGGCTTTGGTGGGGTGTCCTGGACCTGGGGGACAACATCTCCACCCCTGTGCTTGTCCTTCTTCAGCTCCGGGGAGCAAGGCTCTTACTTGGTGAAGTACCAGGAGCCTTTAGAATACACTCCAGACTGGATTCCTGGGTTCAGTTTAATCAAAAAGGCCAACGATCCCGGTGGCCTCTGGAGCCCTGCAGGAGAGGACAAAAGATCTGAAGAGTCATCTGCACGAAACAATTAAGGGTGAAGCTGGTGTGGGGACAAGAGAGGGACGGTGGGACCCTGCCAGGTCAGCGTGCCCTCAGTCCTCCTCCATTAAGATCTGCCACTTCAGAGCAACTCCTTTCAAGTGTGCGATTCCGGGGGGAACACGAGCCCAAGCCAGGGAGGGGGGGGGGAGCAGGAATCAAACAGAAATAATCCTATTAGGCCTCAAATGCTCTTTTTTTTTTTTTTTTCCCCACTTCACTCGCGTTCATTAAGCTTTTAAAAACCTGAAATAACCATTTTTCCAAAGCACTCACCTGCGTGGCCTTCGGTGCCTCCCCCTTCGCCGGCCAACGAGGCTTTGTGTTAACTCCATTGGGGTTAAAGAGGCATCGCCCCCAAAATAGACAATATTAACGGCTCTCAGCTCATCCATGACGCGCGGGGAGGGAAAAGGAGACTCCAGACAAAGGGGCACAAAGCTTTGTACAAAAAAACCCCACTTTTTTGTTGTTTTATTTCACAAAATCGGGTGGCTGCGTCGCAGGAATAAAACCGGCCCTATACATAGGATCAGATGAAAAAGTCAGCACGTGGATTATTTTTATACAGAAACACAACAGTGTCAAGAATTCAGGTGCTCCGTAGGATCATCATCACTAAGTACAGTAAAAAATAGTCTCCATCTGGATCCTTTAATATTTGAAGCTGGATCCCGCTAAAAACAACCTGAGGTTATTTATTCTAAACTGGACTACGGTCTGAACCAGAAAAACCCCACGCTGGCCCCCAAAAGACCCCAGAAAAGGGAAAAAGGGAGCAGAGGGGTGGATTTCCTTTGTGGGAGGGGGAAGGCAGGCAGGCCCTGACCCTTCTCTGCGAGGCACCGGGGGGGTCTCGGGGCCCGGGGGGTGGGAAAAGCAGAGCTCCTACACGGTCTGGGGAGCTGGGAAGTTCAACCATTAACATCTCTGAGTCCATCCCCTGAGTGCTCTTCAAAGCAAATCCTGGGTTTTGTTTTGTTTTTTTCTTTTTTTTTTTATGATTCTGCAGGTTTTCAGAGTGTTTGGGAGATGTCTCTCTGGTCAAGCCTCAGGCCACCACCTTGCACTTGGTCACCCTTTAAATAAGCAAGTGGATTTGGCAAGGAATCCTGCAAACCCCCTGTAGGTCTGGAAGAAGGCAGAGAACCCCAACCCCAACCAGCAAAGGATTTTTTGGGTTGTTTTTTTTTTACAGTAATGACAAGCAAACCAGCACTTTTGGAGGTCTGGAGATCTCAACTCAAGGAGATTTGCTGGCTGAAGCCGTTTCCCTTCCCTTCCCCACAAAGCCCACGGAAGGTGACGTGCGTGTTGTCCCCGAGAGGCTCTGCCCCCCTCGGCTCTCCGCAGGAGGTAGTTCTGGCTTTCTCCCCCCCAGCCACCCCAACCCCATCCCAAATGCTAGCACTTCTTCCCTATCTACTCTTTTTTTTTTGTTTTTATTTTTTTTGGTTTTTATTTTGTTCATTTTAAAAAGTAAAAAGTATAATGCTCCAAAAAGAGGGACTAAAAATCATGGTTTTACTCCTCAGTTGGCTACTGCACCAAACTACTCAGAGGGAAGGTCCAACTACCACCTTCAAAGGCAAAAGAAAGGTAAAAAAAATGGAGCAAGAAAACTCCTACCATTGAGTGGTTTTATTCCAATCGATTCACTCCTGGCTTCGTTAGCACTGGATCAATCTTTTCTTTAATAAGTTAGCCCCAGGACTCAGCCCCTGTCCTGAACCATCAGCTACAGGTTGGCATCCCTGCACCTCCTGGGGTACAGCACACCCTCAATTTGCCTTCTCTGCTCAAAACTCTGGTTTGACATCCCATCTTGCTGCTTCGATCTACCTGGGAGACCCCAAAAGATTAAGTCACAGGTGGAGAGGGCACGTGCTACATCCTAAAAACCTCACTTAATGCCTGCACCTTAAAAAAAACTTGATTTTTTTTTTTTAAATTTTTTTTTAACCTTCCCCAGGAGAACCCAAAGCTCAAAACACCAAGATGAAAGAAACCAGAGCGGAGCGCGCTCCGAAAAGGCAAACAGACCAAAGAGCAAAGGACTTCCCAGCAGCAACACGGAGGCACCACTGGCATCTTTGATTTAAAGCTTTCCCAAAGGAATGCCGAGTTCTGCCAGGCTCCGAGCGGTGAGGAGAGGGGGGGTGGTGTAAAAAAGATGCTGTGTGTATGTGCTTGACCAGGGCAGGCCAAGGGGAGGTGAAAACCTCCCAAGGGAAGAGAAAAATAACTGAGGAATTTGGGTTTGTTTTTTTTTTTGGTCACCACTACGTTGCTGTAGAAGCTCCTTCTTCCTTGGCTGCTTAAGGAGCGGCTGAGGCCGGGGGGGCTCCTGCTGGAGGGGGGGTCACCCCTTCTGCTGGTGGAGGTGGCTGCGCAGGAGGGGGATCTGCAACAAAAAACAGGAGAGAAATGGTGAGGAGGAGACCAGGAGGGGATGAAGGTGGAGAAGGAACCCGAGGCAAACAGCCAGAGGTCTATATGCTACAGGAGATGGGGTTGTCTGAGGGGAAAGGATCAAGGATGGGCACCAGGAACGGCCACGGCCGCAGCTTCTCCACCCCTGAAGCTTCACATGAAGCTCCACCACACGTTTTATGGTGCTTTTCAAACACTAAGCACCACGTGGACTCTGTGAAAGAGGAGAGAAAAAAAAAAAATCCCCTTTTTTTCCTTTTTTTTTTTTTTACAGCAAAGATGCCAGACGTGCAGCTCAGGAGCTGGCAAAGTTCACACTGAGCAACTTCCAGAGCTGGAATTAGCATTTCTCATCTCCCAGCTCCGCGCCCCAGCCTTTCGATGACGGCTCTTTTCTATTTAAAATAGATGGAACAATACACTTTTATATAAACAGAGCCTGCACTTAAGCTCGGAAGAGCAAATGTAGGTTAAAGTAGAGGAATCCACAGATGCAGCAAGTAGGAGGGAAGAAGGGGAGGATACAAAAGGCCAGCTTTCCTGCACCGGGAGGAGACATTAATGGAACATGACTGACTTGTTTAGTAGGGGAGGAAAAAAAAAAAACCACCCCAGAAATGAAGATAAGGCAAGAGAGCAAGCAGGAATCCAACCTGACATAAAATATTCCCAGTGGCAGCGGCTCAGAAAAAAAAAAGGGGAGGAAAGTGAAGGAAAGCTGGAACACGAGAAGAATAAGGAGCGAGTGTCTGAGCAGAAATAGCATCAGAAGGGAGTATTTCACGCTCGTGACACCGATGAGTCAGGGCTCCTCAGCAACCCCCCTCAGCTCCAGCCAAAATGGGATGGCTTTTCCCAGTTGTTTCTTGGGAGAGGTGCTACAAGGGATGGGGATTCCCACCGTGTGAGGACAGTTATGTTGAACAGCCCTTTTTGGGGTTAGGATCTTTGGGCCGTGCCAAAGCAGAGCAGCAGCTTGTCCCAGGCTGAATGAATATCGATAAATTCCAGATTTATTGAGGAATTCCTGACGGAGCAACCCTGCACCAGCCACCCCAGCTTTTCTTTTTGCTTTCTGGGTTTGGCCAAGTTCTCACTCTCATTCAAATAACACCCACATGGTGGCTACTGACTTCAGCTGCTTTTTTTGGGGGAGCTGGCATAAATCAGCTCCATTTTCAGAGGCGTATTTATATCACGCAAGGAACATTCCCAATATACCTTTTGCTTCTTCCTAATTAGGACTTCCTCTTTTTAATTTCATGCTGCTAAGTTTCCAGTAACCTTATTGTTGAGCTGAATTATATTCCGAGCTCCACCATTTAAAGATTTAGCTGGAAGTTGAATCCCTGAACCTCTGCTGTGCATTCTTCCAGACTGAAGCTGAGAGAGGTTTTTGACGATGCCCACAGCGCCTCAGCGTCATGATAAATAAAATAAGGGAGGTTATAAATAAAATAAAGGACAATGGAGTATGTTTGGATGCCCGGAGGGGAGACAAGCACTTAAAGCTTCAAGCACACCTCTGGCACCAGTCTTTGGTGGCCACCGAGCACAGATCCTATTATTCCCTCAGCAGATAAAGGGGTTTGGACTACAATGACTTCTCCAGCGACAGAAAAGCCACACCAGGTGGATTCAGAACCCTTTTCTGCTGGAAATGCACTTACACATGCCGTTTGGAGCTGCCAGAGGAACACGAGGTCCAATGAGGTTTCCTGACATGGGTGACATGCCCGGCGGGGGGGGACCGGCGCCGGCGGGATGGATGTTGGCCGACACGTTTGGCATCATCCGGCCCGGCATGGGCTGTCCAGGGATCATGGATCCGGGCCCCGGCATCTGACCTGCAAGAACAGAGAAGGGACACCACGGTCAGGCTCACGTGAAACACAGAAGCCATCAAAAGAGGAAAAAAAATAAGAGTTTAGCCGTTCTCCAAGCAGTGAGAAAGGACTTGTGGATGAGATCCAGCTCCGTAGACGCTCCAAACACCAAAGGAAGTGCCTGTTCATCCCTCCCACGTCAACATGATCCCTCCAGGAGGGGCCTCGGGACACTGGTCATCCCCCAAAACCACTGGGAAGCAGAAGGCAACGCTCGCAGTCAAACCCCAAGCCGTAATAAAAAAGGCACTTGATAGCAATCTCAAGGCAGGCGCAGGAAACAAATTGCCCCGGAATAACAAGGCATCAAAGGAACAGAGCATGGTGGAACAGAGCAGCCACAAAGCCTAATGGATTAATTTAAGGGGAGAACTGAAATCCTACAGCTAAAAATTGGGACCGTAGAGGAATTTATAGAGAAACTATAAACCCCCCCCAGTTCTGGTGTGAGAGAGGGTTCCAATAAATCTTCCTCATGTGAGAAATTTCTGTTTCAGCCACAGAAAGGATCCGTTAGAATCGCCCAGCTTCGGACACCTACAACGTGCTGACTGATGCTTTAAAACCTCATTTGAGGAGATTGTTTTGCATAATCCACTTTTCCTTTAACACACTTACCTAAAGATACAGTATTTCAGTTAGAAAAGCAGCTATTAGGAGGGATTGTAAAGGCTTCCTTCAGAATAGCTCATCCCATCCCAAACCCCAGCACGCTCCAAACACCAAAGAAAACGCCTTTTCATCCTTCCCACGTCAACACAATCCCTCCAGGAGGGACACTGGTCATCCCCCAAAACCACCGGGCAGCAGAAGGCAACGCTCACAGTCAAACCCCAACGTTCTAAGTGAAGCTGTAATAAAAAAGGCACTTGATAGCAATCTCAAGGCAGGAGCAGGAAACAAATTGCCCCGGAATAACAAGGCATCAAAGGAACAGAGCATGGTGGAACAGAGCAGCCACAAAGCCTAATGGATTAATTTAAGGGGAGAACTGAAATCCTACAGCTAAAAATTGGGACCGTAGAGGAATTTATAGAGAAACTATAAACCCCCCCCAGTTCTGGTGTGAGAGAGGGTTCCAATAAATCTTCCTCATGTGAGAAATTTCTGTTTCAGCCACAGAAAGGATCCGTTAGAATCGCCCAGCTTCGGACACCTACAACGTGCTGACTGATGCTTTAAAACCTCATTTGAGGAGATTGTTTTGCATAATCCACTTTTCCTTTAACACACTTACCTAAAGATACAGTATTTCAGTTAGAAAAGCAGCTATTAGGAGGGATTGTAAAGGCTTCCTTCAGAATAGCTCATCCCATCCCAAACCCCAGGTAATTATGTGAAATAAAGCATGATGACAGAACCCTCCAACACCAAAAAAAAGGCTCTGAACATACAGTGGTTAAAGCCAAGCAAGTGGGAGCTCTGGATTTGGGACTGAGTCAATACTTTGGCACCAAAACTATTAAACTCTTACTTAAGCTCAGCTTTGGAACAAGAGCTTTGAGTAATATTTTCTTGATATTTGTTGTTACTTCCACTTTCCAGGATGTCAGGAAATCACACCGGCTCCCAAGGGGGACTACTGAGAGAGCTACAAGCGTGAAGGAACAACTACTGAAGAATAGTTAAAGAAAAAACACAACACAAATAGATGACTCGCTCCACTTCCCTGATGTTTGGTGCCTTCAACTGCAGCCCCGTCCCCCCAGAAGATGCTCATCTTCAATATCTAAAGCACTTGGTGGCTCCCCCAGCCCTTGGTTGAGGGTCTCTGTCTGTAATTCCATGATACTTTAAACCAATAATCTGCTTTTTGAGAAAAAGAGGCTATTCTTGCAAAAAGGCAGGTGGGTGACGGTATAAGGGAGGATTTGCTTCTGAAACCAGAGTGACCAACAGTCCCAGTGCAAAATCCTACACACCACAACCCACTGGCTTCATCCAGCCCTGGAGATCCATGGGAAAAGTGCGGAACTACCTTAAATCCACAGGGATCTGAAGCATCAAACCATGAAAACAGAATATTGAAGCCAAGAGGTCAACGTCCCAACCTGACTCTGCTCAATGACAGGAGCAAGACCATCAAACCTGCAAGCAGCAGATAGGAAGCTCTACAGGAACCATCAGATTTCTCAAATATTTACAAAGGGAAAGATCTCTGAAAACATGTGCCTGGACACGCTCCATCGCCGATGCGGGGCCTGCAGCACACATCATGGCATTTCTGTCACTATATATTACAGAACAGCAGCAGCAGCCGACCAGAAAAGCCGTGTACATTGAGCCTTTAATCCCCTCCTTCAGCCCCAGCATTAACAAATATTTTCTGCTTTGGTGATGAGGTTTTGAAGAAGCCCTTTGGAAACCTCAGCAGCCTAAAGGAGGGAAGAAACAGGGTATTTTCCTAAAATTACGTGACGTGCCTTTGTGGCTAACTCAAGGTGACCAAGTCCCATAAACAACAAGATCTCCTGTGTCTGGTTGCCCTTCTGAAGGCAAGTTGAGCTGGATGTTCCTCAGTGTGGTCCATTCTCCTCCTCGGGCTGCGAGAGGACCGAAGCATTCCCTCCATCACAGAGTAACTCAGGTTGGAAGGGACCTCAGGAGGTCTCTGGTCCAAGCTCTTCTCAAAGCAGGGTCAGCTCTGGGGTCAGACCAGGTCAGACAGGATAAGGGGCAATGGGTGGAAGGGCTGAATCTTCCCAAAACTGGAGATAAAACATGGCCCAAAGACCCTCTAGCTTTGAAGCAGAAGAAAATATTCACAGCTATGAGGGATGCCATCCACTTGCAAAAATTTAAGTGTGATCAAGGAATAAATATGTAAAAATTGGACCATTCCAGCTGTTTCAGGAGACCAGGAAAGCTGGGAATGGAGAATTCCCCAGCCTGGGAGCTTCCGCACGAAGGAGCCGCAACCTCTCCAGGCGCCATTTGGCCGCTTTCCTTCTCACACCACGTGCCTACAAGATTCTCTCGGCGCTAATGAAGTGATTAATATTAAAAAACCCACCCCTCTTCTGAAACACCTGAAGCTGGATGGGACTCAGCACACGGCGAGTGGCTTCACGTGGGGTCTTAAGCTCCAAAACTGGGAGAGAAAGGCTGTTAAACCTGCAAAAAGGTTTGCAAAAAGGCAAAGACTCAAGGACTGTGTTTTATATTCAAACCAAGGGAGGCAAAAAAAAAGGGCAGCCAACCCTGTACTCGGACACACCATGCAACAATTTTATCTTAAAATTAGCTTAGAGGAACAATCCTATCACATCCCACCACTCCAAAACGCTGAAGTTGAGCGGTAATCAAGCAATGCCCAACTCAATTGGGATTAAGCAAGAGGAAAACTACTACTATGGCAAAAACAAAGCCCTATTTCTATAGAGATCATATTTCTTTTTTTTTTTATTTCACAAGAGATAGCGCTTCAAGACAGCGGCTCAAGCGTAAAACGTGGAAGTGTGACCTACATAAGGGGGAGAGCTTAAAAACAGCAGACGCAGGAAGAGATAAAGCCAAAAGGTTCAATAAAATGAGATTTAGCAGAGTAAAAAAAAATAAATTAAAAATCCTTTACACGTTAAGAGATTGTAGACATTTCCTAACGTGTGCTCTGAAGCGTCCCCACTATTAGCAGATCCACATTACAGTGAAACGGATGAGGAACAACTTTTAAAGGATCTCCAAGGTATTTATCTCTATTAAATAAGCCTCTACCTCTATTAAATCAGCTGCTCGAGGGGCACTGGAGTGGGAAACGGGTTCAGTGTATTTTGTTTCGCTGCAGCAGCCGACAGGGCACGATGCACAAAGCTTGGAGCCGATTCAAATCCTCCCTATTTACCATTCCAAGGGGAAAAAAAAATAAATAGATCTGCAAATGCAGCCCGTGCTACGGGAAGGGAGTCCCTCCTTTGGATTTCGGAGGGGAAAAGCAGAGTGTGGGATCTCCAGAGGGGATGTGCCTCGCTGAAACCTCCCTTTCCTCCAGAATGAATTGTTTCCCAGTCCCAAAATGGGAAGCAGCAAAGAATTGCTCTGGGGAACGCCTGCCACAGCTTCACTGCAGCACCGAGATGCGTTCCTTCCCAGCAGGAATAGCTTTTCAGGAGATGGGGAAAAATCTCTACTTCAACATCCCGACCACGTCCCTTCCCTTGGGCACGTCCTCTCCCCAACACGCAGGGCGGCAGGACGATCCCACGGCCAAGAACTGTGAATAATTAACCACAATAACTCATTTAGCATCGCCTCTCGGGGGAGAGGAGGAATTTCCACTTCACTTGCCCATTTGCATTTCTGTCACTCCCCTCCGGCGCGGTTCAGCTGGCGCTGACGACGGTGGCATCGGCGCGACGGGGTCAGACACCTCCCAACGCTGAGGTAGCACCAGGCTGGGCTGATGGGACCCCAACACCCCCCAGCTGAGGGGTCACCATGATTTTTACCCTGGAAGATACTTTGCCAAGAAGCTGCTGAGCATGTCCCACTGGCAAGGACAACCCTTCTGCAGAGCAGCACCTTCAGACAGGATAAGGGGCAATGGGTGGAAGGGCTGAATCTTCCCAAAACTGGAGATAAAACATGGCCCAAAGACCCTCTAGCTTTGAAGCAGAAGAAAATATTCACAGCTATGAGGGATGCCATCCACTTGCAAAAATTTAAGTGTGATCAAGGAATAAATATGTAAAAATTGGACCATTCCAGCTGTTTCAGGAGACCAGGAAAGCTGGGAATGGAGAATTCCCCAGCCTGGGAGCTTCCGCACGAAGGAGCCGCAACCTCTCCAGGCGTCCTTTGGCCGCTTTCCTTCTCACACCACGTGCCTACAAGATTCTCTCGGCGCTAATGAAGTGATTAATATTAAAAAACCCACCCCTCTTCTGAAACACCTGAAGCTGGATGGGACTCAGCACACGGCGAGTGGCTTCACGTGGGGTCTTAAGCTCCAAAACTGGGAGAGA